GCGAGCTCGGTGGGGCACTGCGCCAGGAAACAGCCGCCGGCAGCAGCCCCGCACTGCCTCCTCTGCTCCCCAGATCCCGCCCCACCCGGACTCCCCGGCGTCACCTTCCCCAAAGTCACCCTGAGGGTCTGGCACCCTTCCTCCACACACTGCGTCCCCTGCTGGGAGGCCCCCCGACCCACCCACGAGCCAGGATGCTCCCAGCCAGGAGGCCCCCTAGGGTTTTCAGGCCACCCCCATCACTGCCCACCTCTATTCCATGACAGGCCCTTAGAAACAGGAGACGGTGGTCCTGGAGGGAGGGGGTGTGTGCTGGAAGGTGGCCTGCCAGGGCCAGCGGGAGATGAGGCTGAGGCCATAGGCAGGGGAGGGGACAGGAGGGGCCAGTGGTGTGGCAGCTCCGTAACCCACACAGGACCCCAGTCTCTGCAGCCCAATCCAGGGAGCCCAATCCTGGAGCTTCCCCGGCACCCACCCACGGCCGAGTCCTGGAGGCTGGAGACTGGACCTGGTCCCCACACCCTGGGTCGGGGGGACAGCCAGCCCTCCCCTCACACCTGGTGGCGAGGTGCTTGGGCCCAGCTGCCACCTGGGCTTTCAGCCTGGACTTGGGTGGGGCTAGAGAAGCAGAGCTGCAGTGCAGCAGGGCTGTCTCCCCGAGGCCCCAACTTCCCCCTCACTGCACTCCCTGGGGCCGCCCAGCACCCACAGCACCTGCCCAGGCCTGTTCCCATACAAACACCGGCAGGAAAGGCTGGGGTGGGCTCGAGCGGGGGACTGGGGCTGGGGCAGGCGGCCAGCCCAGAGCCCCTCCCGCCGGGCTTTTCCTCCCCTGCAGCACAGGCCCCAGGCACCCCACAGTGCTGTGTCAGCCGGAGGCAGGTTGGGGCTGCGAGGACCCTGCGGAGGCCTGGCCCGTGCCCACACCGCAACACAGGTCCTCCATCCCGACTTGAGACACTCCAGGGCCTGGTCTGGGGAGGAGGGTTCTGCGCACGGACTCCCAGCACCCCGGACAAAACTCTCTGGCCTGTCCCCATCTGGGCTATCCTGCCACTGACACCTCAGGCATCTCAACCAGCACAATGGTGGGTGGCGATTTACACAGGCCATCCGCCTTGTCTCCTCTGCTCAGCCTGGCGGCAGTGTCTGGGGGACTTGGCCCAGTGTGGTGGGCCAGCCTCCCACCATGGGGGCCTCACGCAGGGCCCTCAGGACAGGGAAGGGCAGGGGCGCGCCCGGCCACCTGATTCACAGCCCGTGTGCTTGGAAGTGGCCCTCCATAGCCGGGGACTTCCAAGAGAGGGCTGGGAACAGCACGAGGCTTCCAGAAAACTCCACCAGAATACCGCAGCCTGGTACAGCCTTACTGGGCAGCAGTGAGCACCACAAGCTTTAAACAGACAGGCTTCCAGTTTCCCGTGCCCAGAGCGCCTGGGGGACATGTGCTTTGAAGAAGGTTCTGTGAGCCTCGATTTACTCATCTGTAAAATGAGTCTGCCAAGAACGCCTCACCCAGCGCGTTTAACAGACAGTGACAAGTATCGGTTCATGATGAGGAACGCTCTCAGTTATGGCTGGAAAAGGTGGGGAGAGAGTGCATCCCCGGTCACGTGCCTGCAGGGCCCATGCCGGCACGTCACCCTCCCAGGTCACACATGGAGAAACGGAGGCATGGAGCAGTGGAGCGGGGCGTTGAGGCCAGAGTGGCAGCCGGCACCTGGCCCCAGCCCGGCGAGGACCCTGCCACTCGGAGGAGGTGGCCGGTCCACCACGGCTGCACTGGCTCCAGCAAGGGACCCAGAATGTTACATCACACAGGTGGCCCTGCCCATCACCACCCCGTGGGTCCCCATCCTGAGCCCCCACCTGCAGCAGCGAGCCGGGTCCTCGCGCTGGGGATAATGAAACCACTGCCTCCTCGTGCAGCACAGGGACAGGGCAGCTGCGTGGCCAGAGGGCCTGGCCACACTGGAGACCCACGCGGAGCCACGGGGCCTGAGGGGCTCCACCCTGTGAGCAGGACAGTCAACAAAACCTTCCGGCCTGGGGATGGCTGACTACGGCTGAGGAGCAGACGCTGAGGCACTCTCGGACCCAGCCAGGACCCTCCTTTCCAGGACTCGAGAAGACCCTCCCTCAGAACAGCTGCCTGCCACCCACGGGTGGGGCCTTGTGCCAGCTCCATGGCCACTGGCATCCACAGGGCACAGGGGCAGGCGGGGCAGCCCTGCTCACACTGACAGTTGCACGCCTGCCTGACCTCTAGCCCCCAGGGCTGGCGCCCTAGACTCTCCTCCTTGCCCCAGGCTCGGAGACCTCCAGTGGCAGGGCCCGTCTCCCCTAGTGACCCTCCTGTGCTTCACATGCCCGCCCAGGATGGCTGCAGCAGGCAGGACTCCTCATCACATCTTCTCTGAGGGCTGGCTTTGTGCCAGAGCCGGGCACCCGGCACCTCCTCTTTTATGGGGAAAGGCTCTTTGTGTGCTTTCCGCACTTGGGGCCACCCTCCCTGCCTCCAAGAATCAGGAGTCCTGGCCTCCCCATCACTGGCCCTGGGCCCCATGGAGCCCCAGCAGAATCTCTGTCTGGTCCAGTCCAGGGGTTGTGCTGGATGGGCTGGGAGAGGATCAGGCGCTCCAGGCTAGTGCGTGCCGAAGGGCCACCAGAGGGCGCCCCAAACTCAGAGGCCAGCCAAGCAGCGCCAAGCAGGAGGGGGACCCTGGGCTGGGCACCCTAGGACCCTTGCCATCCCGGAGGGAGGTTACTCTGCTTCTCTTGCCCCACGCAGCACCGACACCCTCCTTGGCATCCTGGGCCCCGTAGGGTGCTCCTGAGTTCCGGGGACATGGCGGGGTACAGCAATGGGGGACTGGGGGAGAGTAGCCCCCTAAGAGGCCCTGGATGCTTGGGCAGAAGTGCTGTTGCGGCAGGGCAGGGGTGGCACTGACCTTGCCCAGAGTGAAGTCACGACCTCGCAGGCCTGGGGGAGGCGGTGCCAGACCCTTGGGCGCTGCGGGGACACTGCCACAGCCACGTTCCCCATCACTCATGGAGGTGTCAATGTACTCTGCCTGCCCTGGGTCCCTGACTCCCTACATTGCCCACCTAGGGGCGATGGAGCTCAGCCCCTCCAGGCCCGGCCCCCCTCACCGGCTCCACCTGCCCAGCCCACTCTCCTCATCCTGGGCGGTTACTCAAACTCTCTAACTGGGGACAGACAGCTGTGGCTGCTGGCCAGGCTTAGGGTGTATTGGCGGGTGCGAGGGCAGAGGGGTGGTAGGGGTGCCAGGGGTGTACCGGGGGTGATAGGGCAGAGAGGTGGGAGGGTGCTAAGGGTGCAAGGGCAGAGAGGGAGTTGGTGCCAAGAGGTGGTGGGAAGGGTACTGGGGTGGGATGGAAAGGCTCTCTGGAGGATATCCTCATCTCCTGGTGTCTGAGAAGGGGCGCACAGAAAAGGCAGCCATGCAGGTCAAAGCCCCTGTGCGTGTGGTGGGGCAGAAGTGGGGTGGGGTGCAGCAGAAGCAGGATGTTTACAAGCCCTGTGCTGGCCCCAGGCCGCCAACCCCCAGCTCAGGTAAGTGTGGTGGGGCAGCCCCTGACAGACCCGGGCAGAATGCATCAGCAGGGGTGGGGCACAGGAAGGACTGCCCTGGGGAGGCTACGATGGGGTCCCTGGATCCCCATTCTAGAGCTGAACTCACGCCTGGGCCTCGGTGGGCCCAGGACCCAGGGTGTCTGTCACCTCCTCCTATGGGCTGGGCCCCAGAGAGGTAGGCAGAACTTCCCCCACAACAGGTCACATCGTCACCAGGCTGGAACGGGGGCTCAGGGACTCTCCCAGGGCAGCTGTCTGTGGGTTCTGTCACTCCAGGGACAGGTTCCAGGGACAGGGTCCAGAGTCTGGCTCCCTCATCCGCTCCCAGCAAGGCAGGGCCAGGGCCCCACCCCTGCACTGAGGCACTTTTCTCAGTCAGAATGCCCTGGTACTAGTGAGCTGACCCTTCACCTGCCCCTCCACCCTGTCCCCCACCCCTGCTGTTTGGGGGGGAGCCCCGGCAGGCACTTTAGTCTCCTCCTGCCCACTGCGGCCCAGGCACCTCGCACAGTCCCAGGCGGATTCAACACGTTTGCAGTTTGAGGGTGAGGCTTGGAGTCTGGGATCCCCTAGACACGGGTTACTGAGGCGCCCCCCCGCGCCCCCTCACTGCACACTCCTGCCCCAGAACTCCTCCAGGCCCCGCAGGGAGGACGTGGGCACCACTGCGGAGGCCGCAGGACCGAGGCCACCGCCGGGAGGGCCGCTGCGCGCTGTTACAAAGAAACGACACGGCCTGGGCGGATCCAAGGCAACCACCACCTGCAGCTGGACTCGCCGCGCCGGGTGGCCAGCGTGCCAGGAGGGCGGTGGGCCGCGCGGGCGCAAGTTCCCGGCGGAATTCTGCTCAGACTGGTGGCGGTCCCGCCTCTCCTCGCGAAGCGCACAGCTTGCTCCTACCTCTCTGGGGTCGGCACTCCCGCCAGGCATGGGGGTCCACTTATAAAACCCGCTTAGGCTGCGCTCTCTGGGGACCCGGCGAGAATCCCCGGGGCGCGACCAGAGGAGCCTCCCGGAGAGACCGCCCAGCGCCGTACGAGTCCCCAGCCCGCGGCCTCCGTCAGCAGCGCCCCGCAGCCCCACGCTCAGACCGGCCGCGCGGCGTGGGCGGCCGGCGGTGCGGAGCTCGGACTCCCGTCCGCCGCCGCGTATGGGCCGAGCCGTGGCCCGGAGGAGCGCCCCGAGCCGGGACGCCCCGCGGAGAAAGGAGCCGGGCTTCCGCGCCGAGCTGGGGCGACCGCGCGGAGCCGAGAAGACGACCCGTGGGTGCCCGCGAGCGGAGGCGCAGGGCCCCCCGGAGCCTGGGGCAGGAGGCGGGACTCCGCGCCGGGGCGAGTGGCCGCTCGGGCAGAGCGGGGGACGCACAGGGGCGCAGGGCGGCCGGGCCGGGCGCCGCACTCACCCGAGATTTCCGCCTGCGGCACGTCGCTTAGGCTAAAGCCCTTGGCGCCGTAGATCTGGCGGACTTCGCTGCAGCTCCGGCTTTTGCTGGCGGGGTCCCCGCGGGCGAAGGCGGTGAGCGCGGCGGCCGCGCACAGCAGCCACCAGCCGCGGGCCCAACGCTCCATGGCGGCCCGG